GTAAACAAACAAGGCAACAATGTTTACGGGCTCCACGCCCAACCATTAATTTCACTATCGCTGGAAAATTCGCCAAGGCATGCACACAAACTCGCGGTATCGCTCATTACGCGCGACTGTGCAGCTCAAGGCCTTTTATAGGCCCGCAGGCAAGTTGCGGTTGACATCCCCAACCGCTAGGACAGAAACCGTCCGGCAGTTTTATAACTGCCCACGTTCTAAGCCTACTTTGCATAACCGTCCGCACAACGGTCCAATGCGCGGAATATCAAAACAAGCGCACCACGTGTCCAATGTAACCGTCTTGTAACCGTCTTGTACACGCGTCGCCCATCTGATTCATTCTGCCATGCACACTTGAAGATTCCCCGCCTAGGCCACGTGGAACCAATAACAGCGTCCACGTGCAACCCAAATGCATTCGAAACCTTAACCGTTCCCACCAACAGTTTGAGCGTCGCGCCAACACTCACGCGCCCAACAAGCCGCATCAGCAACCCGCATAGCTTAGAGTTAATCCTGCCCAACATAGTGCGAAGGCGCCGTACCGCCTTGCTACTTTGCCGGCACGTCTTTGCATGGCCATGCACAACCCGCAAAGACTTGACTGATCCCATGCTCAGTCTACATTGACTCGGCCCTGCAACCTAGCATCCTCGGCAAGCTAGCCCGGAACCTTTTACCCACGTCAACGTACTTGTTCTCTTATCCGACACCGTGCACAAGTGCCCGGTTTCTTGACCCTTGGCGCACATAAGGGAATGCGCCCGGGTCCAGCTCAACTCAGGTCCGTAACAACAAGCCTCAGTTAGCACATACTTATAGCTTTCAGCAGTCAGCACTATGTCTAAGTTCCTTTTAAAATCAATGTAATTAGGACCGATGAGTTGATTTTCTTTTAGGATAACAGACAACAAATTGAACGACATGATGAATAAACCTGAGAATTACGAAAATATTTTACTGATTAAACATTTTGAATTTAACTGTTAATATTGACATCCTCAAAACAATACTAACTTAAATT